CGATAATAGACAAAGACCTGGTCAGGCAAAGAGCTTGGTGTAAGATATGCAGTGTCAAAGAAATGTTGTATCCAAATTGAGAGCCTCTAGAAACGTCTATGATGATTGACGGGCCCGGCCTCAAGCTGGGGAAATCATGACTCAGCAGCGCTTACGAACCTTTGATGCCTGAATGCCTTACTTCGGAAGGGCAGAAAAATTAAAATACCTGAATTACGTTTACAAAGGTACTGTAATGTATGGAGTATGCATTACATTATAGAAAGCGGTGTAGAAAGTGGTATAGAAAGCGGTGCTAATTCGGGCATTCAGGCATCAAGGTCCTCCCGCTTTGAGCCCTGATAGCTAGTCTGACTGGACATCACTCACCACTTATGCAAAATACTGCCGGTCAAAACCTCCACGAATTCAAATATACGTGCGGAGTACTACCCAGCCGTTTTAGGTAGACGGTATAAATATCAGTGGTGGTGAGCTGGGTGGGGCTATATCCACTGGCTGTAATAGTCAACTACAGTACATATGTACAATCTATACACAGTGTGGTGCGAACAGTGACTGTTCATAAGTTTTAACACCCCAGCCCTGGGCACACCACTTTGATTATATAATATTCTGCCAGTCAAAAGATCTCCTTCAATACCGTTGTGCATCAAAATCTCTGACTCTCGATGATTGTCTACACAAGGCTAGGCATTGTCCTAGGAAAATATACTGAGATATCCAGACATGCAACATGAACTCGAGATAGATGAGGTCCACCAGTTCATTTTATATAGGCGGTATAGGCGATAAAGGAAGGCGGTATATAGGTATATAGGTGGAGCTAAAGGGGGTGTTAAAACTTGTGAACAGTCACTGTATTTATGAATAGAAGTGTGTACGGAGTAAACACGTCATCATTATCAACATATTAGCATATACATCTGGGAATATATATTAGACAGACGTCCTTTTCCCTCCCGAACCCATTTTTCCTTCTATTGTACTTTATAATACTATTCACAATGCCGGCTAAGACTATTGTGTTCACCTCAGCATCCCGTGCGACACTGGACGATCCAGCCGTAACAGAACAAGTGAAGCTAAAACGAGAGCGCACTCCTCAGCTACACAACCTCATCGGCTTTTTTCAACGCTAGGAAAAGCAAATATTCTCCATACAGGACCTCGCCCGTCGAGGGGTGACAGCAATTGCCCTCCCAGATGTAGAATCACTCTTGTCAGATAAAAGTCATTTCCGACCTCATGCTACCGTCCATCGTAAGATAAAGGTGGACTCCTGGGATATTCGAGATCCAAGCTCAGAGAAAGAGGCGTTTGACTCATACATGGAGATTCTGAGTATACTGAATGGAAAGATCCAGTCAATGCTTTTTGCTAAAAACCGTCCAAGCGGTACACCTTCAGTAGTGAACGCGGCCCGTGGGCTACACTTGGGTATGCGTCTGTCCCTTAATACTTCGCTACATGGATGTCAGCACATACGGGAGTAAATATTCAATATGAGATACTAAGATGATTTTATAGCACCCCAAGCCCGTTCTTCAGTATGACCAATGGGTTGCTTCGCAGAATCGAGGGTGAACCTTTCTGGTTCCTCCACACTCTAAAGGAATGGAAGGGTCCAGAATGCGAATAGAGTTCTGCATTCCTCCTCCCCATATCAAAATGAGTGTCTCCCACAGCTGCTACGCTCCAGAAAATGCTTTGTTGGGCTCAGAAATGAGAGGTATCTTGTCGGTGCTTTATAATCGTGTATATGAACCGGGTTTTGAGGATTAATCAGTATTTCTGGTGGGTTTTGGAGAAATTCAATCGGTCACCAGCCATGACTTATCCCTGGGCAGATCATATATATCTCGGAATGTAGATTTCGTCAAGTACGCGTTATCGAAGCAGTTTTCGATCTGCCTCACCAAAAGCTCACCTTAAAATTCACGCCGAGTTACAGCTTTTTGAAAAGGAAGGAGGCTCCTTGGGACCTTTTCTTTTGTGTGAGTGAAAGCTCGCCACATAAGCTGGAGGATCCTCGAGAGAAACTGTTGAAGGCTAGCACTACTGTAGGGAGCTGCTTTATTAGGTCAACATATGATGAGCTGAGAGCTGAATAAAATACTAGTATTTGATTCAAGTCAACAAGAATTGTCAGCCGCATTTGCAGTCTTGTGATGTCTTTTTAGATATCTTTTGAGATGTTTTTTGGGATGTCCTTTGGGATATCCATTTTAGGGCAATGAGTGTTGTTGGAATTGCGTGGCGTATGGTGCCAGGACGTAGCTGTCACGTGGACGTTAGCACCTGAGGCATCTATCAATTTACAGATGCTGACTCAGTGCTGAGTCAGTCCACACAAAGAACCCGCTTGGCCGCCGCGATTTGTTTCTGCCCGAAAATCCATCAGCGGATTGCACCGATCTATCTTTGCTCCGAAGCCTCTAGACGCCTTCGGTATACCCATCATGGCGCCCAGTTTCGATACCCTGTCCGAGCAGGAACTCCACGAGGAAGAGGAGGAGGAGATTGATTTCTCCGGTGAGTGCAAGATTTCTCGTGGTCTGTGTGCCCCTCTCTCTAACACGATAGTCCACAGATCTCAAGGAGCAATATGAAGTGAAGGTCGAGGAGGGACTGGATACATTTATCGTTATCGATGGCCTCCCCGTTGTGCCCGAAGATAGCCGACAAAAACTCGTCAAGTTCTTATTGAGAAAACTCAACTCCGTTGGCAGCACCTCCGAAGATGCGGTTTTCATGCCCGTTAACGACAAGAAGATGACCGAAGGGTGCGTATTGGATATCCTATAAAATATGGAGGAACCGTGGACGATTTCTAACTTTCATTGGGGCGATATAGGTTCGCATTTGTGGAATATGAAACCCCGGAAATGGCCGTTGCCGCCGTCAAGCAGTTGCACGGCGTCCCTCTCGATAAGAAGCACATTATGGCTGTCAACAAGCTGATGGATATCGAGCGTTATGGTCGTGAAGGTCGCGTCGATGAAGAATACAAGGCACCCGTCCCGGAACAGTTCAAGGAGAAGGAGCACCTGCGCTCATGGATGGGAGATGCCAGCGCCCGTGATCAATTCGCCCTTTACCGTAACGACAAGGTTGGCGTGTTCTGGAACAACAAGACGAACCCTCCGGAGAATGTCGTGGATCGCGCTCACTGGACACAACTTTTCGTCCAATGGTCCCCCAAGGGTACATTCCTTGCCTCCGTCCACCCCCAGGGTGTCCAACTCTGGGGTGGCGAGTCCTTCTCCAAGCAAAAGCAGTTCCCCCACCCCTTCGTTCAGTTGATCGAGTTCTCCCCACTTGAGGGCTACTTGACAACATGGTCAGCACGACCCATCCAGGTCGAGGAAGGCCAACCCATATTGACCTACGAGGAGGATGGCAAGAACATCATTGTCTGGGATATCGAGACTGGCAAGCCTCTCCGCTCGTTTGTGTCACACGATTTGGCTGCCCCTGCCGAGATCGAGGGCGATGTTGCACCTAAGAAGAAGGTGCAGTGGCCTGCTTTCAAGTGGTCCGCGGACGAGAAGTACGTTGCTCGCATGTACCAGGGCCAATCCCTCTCTATCTACGAACTTCCCAACATGAACCTTCTTGATCGCGTTTCCGTGAAGATTGAGGGTGCTATGGACTTTGAGTGGTCCCCTGCTACCGTCGCCCGCGAGGGTATCAAGCAGTACGAGCAGTTACTCTGCTTCTGGACTCCCGAAATCGGCAGCAACCCCGCCCGTGTTGGTATGATGAGCGTGCCCTCAAAGGAGATTGTCCGAACCCGTAACCTGTTCAACGTTTCCGATGTCAAGTTGCACTGGCAATCACAGGGTGCCTACGTCTGCGTCAAGGTCGACCGTCACTCCAAGTCGAAGAAGTCTATGGCCACTAACTTGGAGATCTTCCGCGTTCGCGAGAAGGGTGTGCCCGTTGAGGTTGTTGACAGTCTTAAGGATACCGTGATTAACTTTGCCTGGGAGCCTAATGGATCCCGATTCGTCGTTATCGCTAACGGCGAGGCACCAACTGGTGCCGCCGTCCTTCCTAAGACTTCCGTCTCCTTCTTCGCGCCTGAGAAGAAGGGCTACACTGCCGGTAACTTCAAGCTTGTGCGCACTATTGAGAAGAAGACCAGCAACGGCATCTACTGGTCGCCCAAGGGCCGATTTGTTGTTGTCGCCACCGTCCACTCCCAGACCAACTTCGATTTGGACTTCTGGGATATGGACTTCGAGGGCGAGAAGGTCGAGGCCGAAAAGGATCTCGCAGCCAATCTTCAGTTGATGAAGACTGTCGAGCACTACGGTGTCACCGATGTCGACTGGGACTCCACCGGTCGTTACGTTGTCAGCAGCGCCAGTGTGTGGACTCACTCGGTAAGACTCAATCTAGTTCTATTTTTGATTATGATTCACAATATTGACCTCATTATAGATGGAGAACGGCTGGAACATGCACACCTTCTCCGGTACCACCCTCTCCGAGAACCCCACCGAAAAGTTCAAGCAGTTCCTTTGGCGCCCACGCCCTGCCACTCTTCTCAGCAAGGAGGAGCAGAAGCAAGTGCGCAAGAACCTCCGCGAGTACTCAAAGGAGTTCGACGAGGAAGACAAGTACGCTGTGGATATCGCCAACACCGCCGTTGTCGAGACCCGCAAGCGTGTACTCAGCGAGTGGCTCGCCTGGCTCCGTCGGGAGAAGGAGCTCTTGGCCGAAGAGAAGGAGGCTTTCAGCCTCCCCGAGGACGCAGATTTACCCACGGCCGCCCGCGACGCGCGCCCGGTTGTCGAAGACCAGGGCGACTCCGTCGTCGAGGAGATTGTGGAGGAGATTATCGAGGAGACCGAGGAGGTCATTGGCTGATGATTCTGTCTGTTCTATTTTCGCAAATAATGTGTTTCCTTTTGTTCCTCTTTTCCCCCTGTTTCTCTGCTGGCGTTTCGCGCTTGTGCCTGAACCCAGCCTTCTGTCCCCTTGTGTTTCTTTTAGGTCCCCTGGGCAAGCCCAGTGAGGATCGGGACATTCCAAAAATCAATAGATCGAGCGGTGCGCCTCCCGACCAAATGTGCAATGTGGATAAGCATGAGAGATGGCTACGAAACCAGTTCCTAGCAAAGTTCAACCTTGTATTTCTTATTTAAATCATTTAAACGTAAGCTATCTCAACTGTAAAGCCCCCTGCTGACCCCCACCGTTCCCAATGCTACTAGCATCATCCCCAATGTCGAGTCCAGCGCGAATCTTATAGCACCTCCCGTAGGCTGACTCTGACTCCCGATGGTAGTGGATGTCGCGGCATTCGGCGACGGCTCAGGCGTAGACGTAGAAGAAGCCTCGGAAGTCGTGGTTGACGACGAGGACGAGTCGACTGCAGGCGCCTTCTTTGGCAAGACGTTCTTCTTGAAGTAGGAGTCATGCTGGCCCACAACATTTCCAGGGGGTGTATATTCGCAAACCACATACCACCCCTGAGCCCTCGCCTCGCCTCGCGCGACCTTCAGCCCTTCCAAGCCGTCTCGTCCGGCTTCATCTGTGTTGAAACGAGGCGCCATCAGCACTCCTTCGAAAGCATCCTCTGCAAAAAGATCATCTTCAAAGGCATCCTCTCGCATTTCGATCTCGTCATCTCTTTTCCCGTTGCCATTCTTCGTATACCCGCAGTTGACAGCAGCACACCCAACCTGCGTAGTCGACTTCCATACCAACTGAGTGAAATGCCCTGTCTCCTCAGTGAAGCCTGTCGGCTTACCGAAGTTATACATGGCACCTTCACCGCCCCAGGCGATGACAGCTGCAGAGACATTCTGATATCCGTATGCGAGGTTCTCGCCGTAGCTACTTTTCTGTGGTGATGTTAGCATTATTGGCTCGTTGTTTGGTAGATATTAATACATACCGAATGCTTCCAGATACAGGCTTCTGCCCACTCGCGCGAGTAATCGGCCAGCGTGTCGTTCCATACCAGTGGATCTGCATCGTGATTGGCGCGGTACTCATTCGTGACTTTCAACATATCGTCTTTGAACTCGTTGAGGGAAGTGTAAGATGGTGATAGGGGCGCTGTTTGGGTTGGTGCGGGCACTTTAACCGTAGTCCAGACGGTTACTACGTCAGCTTTTGCGCTGAGTATTTGCATGGTGAGGAGTACAAGGATGGCCAGCCATCTTGCAGTTTTGGTGTGATTGTTCTGGTCCATTTGGAGAATTGGGATTTCTCTTTTTGAGGTGAAGCTGTGGACAGGTGATGACCGTAGATTTGATTTGCTATTGCATGACATGAGATGTTTTTTCTCTTATGGTCGTTGGATCAATAGTAGTAGGGCCAGGCTCCGATCCGGTTTTGGAAGCGGTCCTAAACTGTGACGACGTCTTTTGGATGGAAATGTGGTGATGCAATACTCGTGTATTGTCTATTGTATTAGGCAGCCATGGCCATTTATTGTGTATATTGTGTTCTCATAGAAGCTGGCACAATGCAGGTATCTAGAAAACCAGTCAGATAACCTTCTTCACAGAGCTCAGGGGACGTACTCAACACCTGGAGGATGAAGAAGATTCCTGGGGAACCAGAAATAAAGCAAAAAGTCCAAGGCATTTTGAAATTCTATTAATGTGTTTTAGAATGCAACCTGGGCAGGGAGACAGTTGGATAGAAAAGAAAAGTGTCCGTTTCAGTCGCTGCAGTGGTGTTCCAGTAGCCGCCGGTGTTGACGTCAGACTCTCAGGGCTAGAGGAACAGGGGTTGCATCGTAACCAACTATTTCATCTTTGATATTTGATATTTGATATTTCATATTTCATATTTCATATTTGATTCATCTATCTCATTTGCTCTGTGGAGCTAGACTATCTGATTTCGTCTCGTTTCGCTTTCTTTTGTCTCGCTGAAACTGAGAATTCGAGACAATGTGCAATATCTCTACCTATATGTATCAAACGGATTCAGAAGCAAATATCTAAATAATTGTATATCCATGGCTGTTGATCCCTGGTTATACATAGAAAATTTGTTCGCACAAAGTATGCATATTTTACTGTCGTCACATACATCTCGAAGCGAAAGACATCTAAAAAGACCTACTAAAAAAGAACATCACAAGGCCACAAACGCGGCCGACTATTCTTGTATATATTCACACCAATCTACTCTAGGAGAAAAACCCATGCTGACATGCATATTCGCATTGCAGGTAAATATAAGCCACTCGCTATGCAATTCCCGGGGGTATCGGTATCCATTTACATCACATTGCAACCAATTCCATACATAGCTCGTTCCACGTCCCGCTTGACATAGTACCAGTCAGCCCGGCGCTCAGCAAATTCATAGACCTCCTCCACACGCCAAATTCCATGGAACCGATCCGCATCGGCGATGACAGTCGCCAGTTCCTTAGCGTCGCCGGGATCGATCAGGTAAATCTGCACGAGCTCACGGAATGCCGTGAAATAGAGAAGGAGCTCATTGTTTCGCAACGTTTGAATATACTTGAAATAGTGGTTCATGTCGCTAGGTAGTCAAGTCAGTTCTGGAATTTTGGACACCTGAAGATCGAAATACATACCTGATCAACTTGAGTGATCCCTCCACGCTGACGCGCTGTCGCTTGAGGTGTTTACATAGAGCGGTAAATAAGCGGAGCCCGACTTCTTGATTGAACACATCTAGTGTGCTCTTGTCCGTGCTCCCGACTAGCATCTGCGTGTGCGATGAAACCACGTCGACGACAGCGATGGCGACTTCGCTGACGCCTACGTCCATTGTCTGTCGGTGTGGATCTGAGGAAACACCGGGGTTGAAATCGGTGGCTAGTTGTCGCGTTGCCAGAATGTAGTCCACCTCTTCCATGAGAACGTCGATTCCCTTATTCAGGCCAGCTGCAACACGTTCATCGAGCATCTGTTCGAACTTTTTCTTTTCTTTGTTGGCAGGGTCCACAAAATCGTTTCTATCAGTCAATCTCATGCCGATCAATTCCTGCTCGTAGAATACATCCATCATTTGTAAAATCAAATCGCCGACATTGACCAGTTCCAAAAAAGTGACCAGGGGCTCGACTCCAGATTGGTCACGCTCCCCTTGTTCGCGGGGTCGGTAGTTAGATAGATGACTGACAGCCTTATCAAATCCAACTATAACGTGCTGGTATCCCAATATACGAAGCAGTGTCACGAAGATTGCCTCGCATTGTTGCTTCGCTGCAAGGCCGAACTCGCCGCCAAGTCGCACAAATTGAGCAGCTCTCTCCAAACTGGACTTGGCGGAATGAACTAGATCAAGTGCAATTTCGATGCTAAACAATGAGCGGATACCCTCCATCTTCGTCTTCATGATGGCCGCTTTTGCTGCCAACTCTGTAGTTGGAACTTCCTCGACGGCCACCGGGGCAGGCGACGTTATTGTCGAAAATCGATTGGTATTTTTGGATAGTTGCGACGGATTTTGGCTACTTGGTTCCGTGTCTGGTTTTGATTCTTCGCTTGATTTGGCATTTGAAAAGCTCGGTAGAATGTTTACCGGCATCATGATCACTTTCTTGAAAGAAGTAAGGAAGTCTCGTTTGTCGGCTTGACGATTAACATTCGACATCAGAAAGGACTCTGTCGAGGCCGCTTGTTCAGAGAGATGCCGATCCCACTCACTCACTGTAAATTCACAGGCCTTCTTGAAAGAATCAAGTTCTTCTGCCAAATACAGATCAAGGTGTGGCTCGTATATCTTGATCACGACATTATCAAGATACTCATCGAATTTAGCATCAGAGCCTTTTATGGGAAGCAGAGCCTCTGAGAGGTTCATGCATTGGACGAAAGTTGCTGAAATTGCAGTGAGATATGACCCAATGCTGACACGATGCAGTTCATCGAATATTGCTGTGAGGAAAGGATACAACACATCTTGGCCAACTTTTGTCATAAAGGAAGATGTGACGTCCAACTCCGGGGGGAAGACGCGGTTCATAATAGATATTTCATCGTTGAATGCGACACTGAGACGTGTGAAGAAAGCCTGTGTCTGGTCCATTCTGACCTGGCCGGTCGATCCATCAATACAGGAAGCGACGCTTCCTAGGTCGGACTTTCGAGTCATCAGGTGATTGTGATGGATGAAGAGGTCCACGGCAGCTTGCCCACCGTTGAGTGTCCATAAAATGTGAGCGTACTTCCGCATGGTCCCATCAATGTCGTCTGATTCATACCCTTGACGGAACTCCTTCAGCGCAGCGGTCTCAAACATCGAGATGGTACGCTCTAAACTGTCCACCCGCTCATCCCATCCTTCTGTCATATCAGATTTGGAGAACATTAGCAACTGTGCCAGTATCTGCGCTTGGGCCTGGGGATCTTTGTATTTCGTGAAAACCAAGTTTTCAGAGGATGGTCCAGTTCGCGCGATGTCCTCATAAAACGGTGCCAGTGCAGCGTGTATCTTGCCGTATTCCTGGCGCGCCTCCCCCCGGATTGATCTGACATTTTTCAACACCGTCAGGACGGGTTCATCCAGGAGATCCTGTAACACATTGGGCTGCAACGCGGTATTCACCAATTCAATCTTATCGAATCCATCGGATATTGCTTTCAGGTCATTGGAAGGGTCGTCGCTAGCAGCAATCGCAGGGACTGGTCCATCGCCCAACTCAGCCTCCTCTTGTTGCTCGACGACCTCCATGTTGGCGACAGTCCCAAATACCACCTCGGCATGCTTCCTAGCATCTGCTTCATCCCAGCACCCGATTCGTTTCAACCTGTGTACCCATCGAGTATCGTCATACGCCATCTCGTGCATAAGCTTGCAAGACCGTGCTGCTCGGATCAGATCAACGGGGCCGACATAATCGAGAATGGAGGATACGATCTCTGTTTGTCCTCCTGTCAGCATGTGTTTCCCCCACCACCGCATGTCTTCATCTCACGCACCTGCTGGGAGAGCAGCTCTGGAGATGTCTTCCATTGATGCCATGCGCAGCGAGGCCAGCACATCTCTGCGTGGCCGAGCTGCGGCCGTGGGCCCTTTTTTTGCACCTGACATATTGTGTTCCTAAACTCTTCATCGGAAGAGAAAGCACTCGTGGGGAGCTCTGGGTTGAGGCAGCCTCGGACTCGCTCCAAGCTGTTCCGCGGGGTTGTGGAGGATGGTACGATCTCGATATCGAACAGACACGGCGTCTTCGGGGTATATTTGGTGTCAAATTATCATGCAGACATCTTCGCATCTAACCACTCATTTCTCAACTGCAAATCAGGAACCACCTTCCAATGCTGCACGATCACGCACGGACAGGGTCCAACGCCGCCGCCTCCCCCGGCTGGCAAAATGTACACCGCTCTGTCATATGCGTCGAGCACATCTGTACGATATAGACGAATCGGGCTTTCTTCAATTGAAAGAAATTAAGAGGGTGGGATGATATTTGGTTTCAGGTGCTATATAAAGCTCAGACATAGCGATTGGGTTACCATGAGGAGAGTAAATTACAAAAGTTGGAGATGTTTGGAGCAATTTGGTGGCTAAATATATACATCGGCAGTAGGGTTGAGACTTGACAAAGAACAGAAATCTCCCAATTGCAACCTCTTTTTGAGCTAATGGGAGCTTCTAAAGTCATTTAGATCAATGGGATTCTCTCTGATATAACACAAGTTACAACACAAGCTGATATAGCCAAACATAGCTATAGTAATACATAGCTATATATGGAGGCATAGAGGAGATCCCGAGATACCCCGACCTTTGTGGAAGATTGTGAATATTGGGGAAAAGATAGAGTGGTGTGATATATATACATATGTAGCTAGTGATTAGCAAGCTAATTTACAGGTCTTCTAGCTATATTCGAACAGAAAAGTGTTGTTCCGGTGATGCGTGTTTTTCTCGGTGAATCCCGGGATACGCACAACCGGAGAAGAAAAAAAAACGACGACACAGGACCAGAAGAAGACAAGGAAGCTATAGACAGAAAGTAATAATTTAACATAATCAATTAGTATATTTTATATAGATCAATTCATTATAAGTCAGCAGAATTGTGATGTTCCGAGAGTCGGTTTTCTAGCGTGGCCGGGAGCCAATCAGAGCAAGGGGGTAATCATCAATGTCAAGTTTCTTCGACTTCGACCTCAACCTCCAGCACCTCTCTCCTGTACCATCCCCCCTCCTCTCCCCACCCACCCCTCTCGCGCTTTGGCGATACAGCACCCATTCCCAATCAAATTCAATTGCTTGGGTTAAACTTCGTCATGCTGGGACGTTCGATTCTGCGCGCGTCCAACCGGGCCATCGCCCGCCAGTCCCTCGGGAAGTCCACGGTACGCCCTTACCCCATTGACCTTTATGGAAGAGGACAATTGATTCCTTGGATATCTATTGGATCACAGAAGGGTTCCATTGCTAATATTCAATAGCGTGCCTCTTCCACCGCCGCCGGCGCCGAGGCCGCCAACTCCCCCTTCTACCTCACACTCACTGCTGCGCTTGCAACTGCCGCCGCCGCCGGTTCCACCGCATGGTACTACCACCTCTATGGACAGGAGGCATTCGCCATGACACCTGCTGAGGAGGGGTGAGTGAAATTGTCCAGGAGGATCGTCGTGCTAGTGGCTTCGCCGCAGCCGAGGATTGTGCGATCCATATTGAGAACAATGGTGGAAGCTAACGGGTGATTTTATCCAGACTCCACGCTACTCAGTACCCTTGGGTCCACGAGCGTTTCAACAAGACCTTCGATCACGCCGCGTGAGTGCTCTCTCCCCAAAGTCACATTTTTGCTCTCGCCAGCATACATTGTACTGACCCCGTCCAAGTCTCCGCCGTGGTTTCCAGGTCTACCGTGAGGTCTGCGCCTCCTGCCACTCCCTCACCCGTGTCCCATGGCGCTCAATGGTCGGCACCATGCACACTGTCGACGAGATGAAGGCCTTCGCCGAGGAGAACGAGTACGACACCGAGCCCAACAACGAGGGCAACATCGAGAAGCGCCCCGGCAAGCTTTCCGATTACATTCCCGCTCCCTACCCCAACGAGGAGGCTGCCCGTGCCGCCAACGGTGGTGCTCTTCCTCCCGATCTCAGCTTGATCACCAAGGGCCGTCACGGTGGCTGCAACTACATCTTCAACCTGCTCACCGGTTACCCCGATGAGCCTCCCGCTGGTGCTGCCGTCGCTGAGGGCATGAACTTCAACCCTTACTTCCCCGGTACCGGTACGTAACAACAAGCTCATAATATTGTTTCTTTTTTTAGCATTTCTGACTCAGTAATAGGCATTGCTATGGGCCGTGTCCTGTTCGACGGTGTTGTCGAGTACGAGGACGGTACCCCCGCTACCACCTCTCAGATGGCTAAGGATGTCGTCGAGTTCCTGAACTGGTCCGCCGAGCCCGAGATGGACGAGCGCAAGAAGATGGGCGTCAAGTCCGTTGTCCTCCTGACCGGTCTCTTCGCCATCTCCGTCTGGGTCAAGCGCTACAAGTGGGCCCCTCTCAAGACCCGCAAGGTCGTGTACAGCCCCCCGATTGCCCCCCGCCGTTAAATGTTGCAGCAAGGCCTTTTTTTGAGTGGGAAAATGTGAGAGGCTGAAGAGGCCGGTACGACTTGGGGAACCCATACCACATCCCCGGTTTTGATACAGGTGCTTCAAAGAGGCCTCTCTGTTTCGTCATTTTTGTGTCTATCTATTGGTCGCTGTGTCTGTGTTTTGTTAGAACGCTCCCCGAACACCTGTATCTGTATCCTAGATATATTCTTTTTTTCATTTCCTTTCGAAAACTGTGTGCTTCGAGGAGTCATCTGAATTTAATTTCCTTTGTTATTATGACAGATGAGACCATTGCATGCATGTAAGTCTCGAGAGTTGCAGTTTATGTCTGTACGTGCATGTCTGTATCATAGGAATACGATATGGTATGTTCTGTGACTTGGGAATGAGATGAGTAGTGTACAATGATTATTTCCTCAATGATATATATACAAGAACCTACACGGCTATATAATCTATAAAAAAAAGGCCCAGAAGCAACTTCAGGTCCGGGTATCATCTAGACATCATCTAGACTCCGCTCGCCATCCCCAAAGACAGGAGCAAAGAAACAATCATAGCTATTCCACACCCCCGAAAATGCGATATTAGCCAGAGCCACCAGCCATGGCGGAATACGACCGTCGGGACCTGCGAATATCCTTGATAATCCCAAAATCAAAATCAACCAAGGCGCCCACAGAGCCAGGAAGATCACCTTCCCGATCTTCTGACGCGTAGTTGTAATATGATAAGTTTTGATCTGCGCAAGATATTCTTGATATGAAACAGGCAGACCATGTTCTGCAGCGCCAGTCTTGATCAACCCAAGGTAGCGGGCAGAGGGCTGGGCGTAATTAGGATCCGGCCGGAAATGCAAGCAGACGGTATACCACCACGACAGCATTGGACCACTGGGCAGTAGCGCCGCTGTGACATCGCCTTTCTGGGATTGCGATTTAATGCGATCATTGTCCGCAGCTGGTGAGAGCAGGGTGCGTGCCTTGAAAGATGGTGTCGTGGGGTAATCTGGGACGGGGTCGGAGGAGTTGTAGGATTGAGGGAAGGGATGACAATCGATGATACAGTCGCGGTATCCACGACCACCGCCCTCTGTGGCGATAATCTTCGCGTAGTCGGCTAGTGTAACCTCGTAGACGACTCCGACTAGAGGTTTGTGCCATCGACGCTTGTCACAATCCGAGACTACCTCCACCTGCCGTGTCTGACCCATGAGCGCTGCCTTCTCTGACAGATACTCACTGTCTGACAAATCAGTCTCATCGTATATTGGAGGATGTATATTTCTGTATTGTGTGCCTGCGAAACAGGGCTCTGCGTACGGGATTCCCGGAAGATCGAAGGTGAGACGAAGTTCGGGGACAAGCACCGAGATTTGCGAGAGTGGTTTGATGCCGCGCACTCCGCGGAAAGTCTTAGAAGCTAAGTTTGACCCGTATGCAAGGTAGAGAACTGTCTCATCCTTGACGACAGTTTCCGACACGCCAATCCCGTGTTCCTGCTGCGTGGAGATCTTCTCTTGAAGAGTCTCATCTTGATCGAGGGAAGCGGCGACGGTTGAGGCTCGACGGCGGTCAACATTCGTTCTGGGAATAGGGTCGGTGTCGAGGTCGACATTCGCAGGCTTAACAAGGGGTGCGGGGAGAAGGCCTCGAAGCCGGTCTAGAGGCAGGGTTGCGTTGAGCCAGCATCGAGATGCTGGTACCTCTTCTTTGGCTTGGGGCGCTTGTTGTGCCATTGTGCAGACCTATAACGCAATATTGGGCGTATGAACGTGAGACCTGGCACTTACCGGAACAATCAGGCGTAAGTTAGCCATTGCTTATAAAGTCTCAGCCGCATGAATTGATGCACTGTCAGCGAACCAGATCGAATGGTGGGGATTATTAATCGAGGACGGATCGCGGAGCTTGCACGGGCCGATCGGATCTTCGAGGATTGAAGATCCATTTTTAATTCTGAGGGTTAGTGGGAAGTCAAAGATGGTGGTCGAGTTAGATCTGGTCTGAGGAGTATGTTGCAGGGGGAATAATATGGGCAAGCAGGTGCTTTTGATATGATCTCAAATATGTGACAAGCACATGGGCATGCAACTTGAGATAAAAATAGAATTGTGCTTCCAGAATATAGTCTTATCAATCTCGATATTTTTAGATCTATTCATGTTTCCCCAGAAAACTGCAAATCAACCTTTGATTATCCACAATCTATATTCGTTTCATTATGTAGTTGAGGTATCATGTGATCCATGCCGTATGCTGGAGCTGGGCTTAGTTCAGCACCCTCATCAGCTGGGCAACTCTGGAGAGCTCCCTTTCCTTTACATCCCATCTTCATGTTCTGACTCCACGTGTATGATGATAACAACCATGAAGCCAGCTCAGGGCCCATCTGCACCAATTAATCCAGACACGGGGAGCAAGCCGACTATCAAAGATCCAGCGACTTCAGAATACGGCCTCACAGGCCCAGTTCGCGAAAAGCCAAAAGCCCCTCCACCCCAAACTTCGGAGTCGAAGATTGTTCGATTGAAGCTCACAAAACCAAGGCCACCCAAACACAAACCCCAAGAAGTGGACTGGGATGAAGATCTTCGTCCTACCCCCAATGAGATAGTTGGGAATAAAGGGACACATGGAGGAACCTCCGTTGCCAATACAGACCCGAAACGACCGAAGACAGTTGACAGAAATAAAGATAGCAAGCGAGCAATGCCATCAAAGCCCCAAATGACCTCGGCCAAACGCAGGAAACCGAACACAAGGAAAAGCACCACTACCAAAGAGAGCAGCACAGGAGGGCCACAATTGCCATTGATAACGCTTGCCGCGAGCACTTTGCCTCCTGCAGCTCCTCTGGGTAATACTGGGCCTTCTGATATGGGTCCATTGGATGGGCAAAGCAAAGATTCTGCCACGAAGCGCAATGGACATGTGCCCGAAGCTTCACAACAGCCTTTGCTACCGACAGATGGCCATAGCAAGCATGGAAACAATAGCAAGGGTAGTGTGATCGTCGAGATAAGAAGCTGCACATCGGTGACAACTGATTCATCCTCAGATTTCGAAGATTGTGGCGAAGGTCCGTCTCGTACTTCAAAAGTCAGCATCCTAGAGCATCGGGCACAGTCCAATATACAAGCAAATAGAGGTAGACCTGTTCAGGTGATGCCCAAGGTATCCTCAAGTTCCGACATCGATCTCAAAGAACAGTCTCACACAACCACTTCAAAAGTCACCATCCTAGAGTCAAGGGCACTTACAAAGGGACAAAGCAGCCAGGATAAGACGATTCTCAAAAAGAATCATCCCAAACATCGTGGCAGAGCAGAGAGTGTTGGCAACAAGTTGATGCTTGCACTCCACGGAGCAGAGCCCTCTCAGCGCGAACCAGTCAATGATCAAACTGCACCTCTCATTATCTCATCTGATCCAGTGCAACCCGATGAATCTTCCGAAAAGCAGCAGTCCGACCAAATGCCAGCTGAGACAGTGCTGGAACCCCCGAACATTGAAAGCGTGCTGGACAGAACAATTCCAGTTGAAATGCACCACAACCAAACCGAGCCTAAGACTGTCAATCCAGCATTGATTGCCAAAACACTTCCGCCCAACGAAGAGCAGATAGAACAGGCAGATGATGCAAGCTTCTGGAAGCTTCTGGGTGATGACAGGTTGTCAACTCCAGCGAGATCTTCAGAACTTGAGACTGGCAGAGGTTTGCTGGGTGACGGCCCTTCAATCCTTGATTACCACATGGAAATGGAACATATCCCCGGATTTGCAACTTTGCAACCCATGAGATCTGCACCGACCACCTCTTCACACGCCACTAACATCTGCGAAAGCCAGGCAGATAGCTCGTCTGAGCCTTCAAATGTAGGAAAATTTGATGATGTCACAGCAGGACAGATCGAGGGACATAGATCTGGCCATACTCCGGAGTCTCAAAAGCCCCTTCTCACCAATAAATCCCTAATGGAACCGACTTCCGCATCCCCCGAGCCCCCAAAATCTGTTCCAAAGACCAGTATTGTTGATAGTAACGGTAGCCCTCGACTTATGCCTCAGTTAGCTAAGAGCATGTTTGTGCCTCAGCTTGACCTGGATGGCGAAAAGGGCGACGAAGAGACAACCAGTGTCACTGATACCAGTCCAAGTGAATATGATCGAGACTCATGCAGTATTTCCACCGAGAGTAAATATGAGGGGCTCATGTGGACCAAGTTCCAGAGAGACATGTTCCTGGAATATGGGATTCAAATGGAAAAACTGGAGAGGTCTCACCCATGGCCGCCGCCCAAAAGGCACTACCAATCGTGTTCTCCGGAGGACATTGCTGACGAGGCCAAATCCGAGAAAGTATCCACGGTTGGGCCGAGTTCTTCACAGAGAACGCTCGACGAGAGAGCATTAGGTGATGCTCCTTCAAAGGATCATGGGTACCTTGACCAATCATTCCGGACAGATCTATCGGCGTCAACACAGCCAGCTGCTAAGTCTCACCAATTCTCTACGGTGGGAGATAAGGATGATATGGAATGGATATTAACTTTGCAAGTGGCGCAGAAGGATGCACACCGTCTGCTTCAACAAACCAATTCGGTTAGTCAAAATGTGAATGGAACCAATGGAACTGTATTAACTGGCATTTAGCATTTGTCAACCCAGCTGGCGGCGGAAAAGGCCACCATCAACCGAGTCCTGGAGATCTACCGAGAGGGGTGTAGTCGGATCCTTGATGACCTGTTCCAGGCGCAAGAAGCACGAATGCAACTATACCGACAGCAAATGCAATCTGTCAAGGAACAGCATGCAGATATATGCCAAGACCTGATTCGTGGACTGCAGGAGCTGGACCGCCGAGTGCAACAAGGACCTTGCTGAAAGACACGTGGAGAGAGGCGAAATTACAGGTTACATATATTATTCCAAGGGGGGACACAAGGTTGAGCAGTATTGCATGCAAGTAACTAGACTCTTATACCAATATCATATGATCATATAATATATTAATATGTCTCAAGTCCATATTTATCCACATTTGTCCTCATTTCTCTTTTATAAATGGGACCGCCATGATTGGAACTCCAGCGCCGGTACGGCAGCCGATCGTACGGCGGGCTAAACTCACCGAGTGATCACGTGGAAATTCTTATACTTTGAGCTTTTGACTCATTCGCGAGCTGTGTTCTTTCGATTTTTTTTTTGATTTTAATAAACTGTTATTCTCCTATTCTCCTATTCACTGCGATCACCTTGATTTCTCCCAATTACCCTTTTAAAATCTGCTCTTCCCATCTTACCCTCCCCTCCTCCTCCGATGTCGGTGAGTCATGCCCCTCCATTTTGAATTTCACACTTCTGACGTTGCCAATTCCACAGTTCTTCATTGATAACCCTAATGTGGGCAACCACAGTCATTTGGAAGACTCTCGCAGTAAGTCTGGCTTTTTTTTAAACTGGCAATTGGTCTCTAACAGCTTTAGTTCTCGGCTACAACCCTCTCACCCCGCCTAATCTCCTACAGCATGAGATCGCATTGACTGAGAAGTCACGACAGACCGTCCTCGATGGACGTAATGAGGCCGTCGAGATTGTCCATGGCACAGATACCAAGCGTCAGCGTCTGATGGTAGTCATTGGACCATGCTCCATCCACGACCCGGAAATGGCCCTCGAATACTGCGATCGCCTAATGAAGATGAAGGAGAAGTACGTCGACGAGCTGCTGATCGTGATGCGCTCGTACCTCGAGAAGCCCCGCACAACCGTCGGCTGGAAGGGCCTGATCAACGACCCCGATATCGACAACAGCTTCAAGATCAACAAGGGTCTCCGCATATCGCGCCAGCTGTTCGTCGACCTGACCAACAAGGGCATGCCCATCGCCAGCGAAATGCTCGACACAATCTCCCCCCAGTTCTTGGCCGACTGTCTGTCCATCGGTGCTGTCGGTGCGCGTACCACCGAGTCCCAGGTCCACCGTGAGCTTTCCTCCGGTCTGTCCTTCCCCGTCGGATTCAAGAACGGCACCGACGGCTCGCTCGATGTCGCTATTGATGCCATTGGTTCCGTCAAGCACCCCCACCACTTCCTGTCCGTCACAAAGCCCGGTGTTGTCTCTATTGTGGGCACCGTTGGTAACCCTGATTGCTTCGTTATCCTTCGCGGAGGAAAGAGGGGCCCCAACTACGATGCCGCGAGCATCGCGGATGCCAAGTCTAAGCTTCTTGCTAAGGGCATGCGTCCCCGTCTTATGGTTGACTGCAGCCACGGTAACTCCGAGAAGAACCACAAGAACCAGCCGAAGGTCGCTGCTGTGCTTGCTGAGCAGCTCGCTGCCGGTGAAGATGCTATTATGGGTGTTATGATTGAGAGTAACATCAATGAGGGTGAGTCTTTTGGAAAAAATTCTATTTACGGAAAACTGTTTATATTGACATGTGCTAGGCAACCAGAAGGTCCCCGCAGAGGGCAAGGCCGGTCTCAAGTACGGTGTCAGTATCACGGATGCTTGCATCAGCTGGGAGGATACCGAGTCAGTATTGGAGACTCTGGCGCAAGGTGTTCGCGCTCGTCGCGAGAAATCGGAAACAAAATAAGCTGGGTTGAGATATTCAAGTTAAATTACGACGGGGCATTTTTTAAGCGTGTCAAAGTGGACAAAAAGTTCAATGATATTATTTCTTTCGGCTCTCACAACACGTTCCATCTTAGGGCAATTTTGCCGCTACGGCTTCTCTTCCTCATCAATATACAAAGTAGCGAAGAGTCCACTTTTATTGTTGTACGCGTTCTCATTTATAGTGGAGATATGGGGCCAAAATTAGCCCTATGCCGTCATCAGGGTCCACGGCTACGCACCTCGTTGAAGCCGACCTCGGAACTTGGCCTAAAATGCTTATGTATCTTGGCTGAAAGATCTCTAGGGGAAATTAAAAGAGGAGATGGATATTCGCTACGGATATGTCTTGAAAAACTTGGCTATCCATACAAAGAATTAGATTACATGATGACCATCAGTTGGTGCGTCAAGTTGACATTGGTTCAATTTGGACCAGCTGGATTCGCATCATTTGACTGCTGATCAGATGATTTGATTGACGCGGTTCTTAGATGTCGAGGCACGCTTGCAGGGAGCTCATCAACCCTAACAAACGGCCAAGGTAGCCGGTGAACGATGTTGTCTACCAAGGTCGCACCCCTTACCATGAAATCAGGCGTGCAGTCACCATATTGAGAAAACAGCTTGTACCCTTGCCTGTGACAGAATAGATTCAGTGCTTCCCGCTTAATTAAGTAGGAGTACTTAAAATCTGCCTCGAAGCCCAGAGCAGCGAGTTCAGTGTCATTGTACTCATGCTGTCCTTGGTAGGAGAAAGTTCTAAGAGAAGGGAGGGAGCCACGCTGTTTGTGTCTCATTAATGACTCTAATGCCTCGAGTGCTTCCATTTCGAATTCAATCAGGTTTGTGATTTGCCAGAGATCAGCCCTTATATGAAGGGCTTCGAGAGTGGATGGCAGTACATCTCGAAGTCTGTAGGCCGTTATATCCCAACCGATGAGAAAGTTGAGCGGTAAGGATGCTGTTTTCAGATTGGGAAACTTCTTCAACATGCCATGAAACGGCCGACCACCATCATCTATCGCACGCTGAAGGAAGCTTTCTGCACAACATGGGAGGAGTTCCATGCTGATAGAAAGATGCTCGATAGCTTGTCCCAAATTTTCCAACGAACGAAGGAGGCACTCAGGCTCTTTGAGAAACTCGGCTGTTGCCCGGCATTGGTAGGCCATGCCCACATGCAAAGACTTCAGATATGGCAATTGAGACAGTAGTCTGGTGATGTCCCCAGGCAAAACACGTGTCTTGGCAATAACAAGACTGCGCAGATTTGGCAAATTCAAGGATATTTTCGGCATCTCCGCAGGGAAGATGCAAATTCCCTCCACGCTATAGAGCCATAGCTCAAGAGTCTTCAAGGAAGGAAGGTGAAACCAGGGGATAAATTGAGAGGTTCTACCAAGACTGACACCCTCTTGAAATCGTGTGAGAGGGAAATTGCTTCCATAGTCGGCCATTTCTAGTTTTGAGAATCGGCTTAATGTGCCAGGGGGTGCGTTGCCAAAGAGAGCATGATGCAACATTTCCCCAGGGAAGCCCCCTTCAAGCACGAATGAAAAGTCTAGTCGAAGGCTGCGAAGGTTGTGAAGTTGCGAGATTAGCAGTGTGGCGTAGGCGTAGGCGTCTCCATCAAACAGTCGTGTGATCCATTTTGTATCGAATTTTGTCGGAAACTTCGCGTCTCGAACAACCTTCCGGGCCCATCTCAAAGTGGGCCTAAACTGTAGCACTGACTTGGCCCAGTTGAGGTCTCCTTTGGGGCTTGAAATCTCTGTTCCCTGGGATTCCACATCCCACCATACCAAGCTGACATGTCGGATATATTGAGCCAACTTTGGTCGCTCGGAGATAGTCCGAAGGAGGAGCAAGATTTTGCGGACCGGGGGTTGCTTCCAGTCCCAGTGGATTGATCGATACAGGAAAGGCTCAACTGAACCACGAGTGTCGTGAGTGGCTCGCGACAGGCTATTCAAGTCCTGTTGTGGCAGATACTCCAGTATCTGTAGCCAACAGTCGCCAGGGAGGTGGGCGAGGGGAGTCGACTCCATCGTAGATGTGACTGTGGATTTTGTTCAATAGAGCTAGATGAAAGTGGCGATGAGCATAATTGATCAACAATACAATTCATGCATATCAACTTACCATGTCAAACGTGGAATTAGCCTGGAAGGTCTTGCAAGAAGGGTGCTGAAAGGAAAAATGAGAGTGAAAGGCGAGAAGAAGGAATGGATAGAGCAGAAAGGCAGACTGGATGGAAAAGGAGAGAGAATGAAAGAAGAGAGATGAAATGTGAAAGGTGAAGGGAGAGAAGAGAAGAGAAGAGGAAGAGGAGGAAGAGACAAGATAGGACGAAAGAGGAAGGAAGCCAAAAGGACGCCAGAACACCTGGACACCTGAACACCTTAGAAGAGTATATTCAAATTCACATTCACACTATTTTATATTAATACAAGGGAATCTTAAAGTCTATAATGCAAGCTGCAAAAGATGACCGTCGAATAGACGGATCCTGATGTATACCATGAACACCAGCAGCACAAGGCTTGACATCCACTCCATCAGCCGAATGGCGACCAGCGCCATATCGGCCAGCAAACCCAGTCTTCACCTCCTCAAACTTCCGTTTCCTCGAACCTTGCAGCCGACTCAAACCAGCACTCCGAACCATACCAAGGTCCTCCAACCCCCCATCAGAACCAACACCAAGAGACCGAGTGGACGTATCACCAGTATCAACATCCAAAACTGTGCCTTTACCATCCTCCCCAAAAGCCCAAACCCTGACTCCACCCTCGGAGGACTGCAAAGCAAGCTCTACAGTCCCTTTAACAGATCCAATCTCCTTGCCATAAATCTTAAACGGCCACATCATAGCAGTAGGCCGATATGAGACAGACAAAAGGAACTCCCAATCCCCATTCTGGTTCTGCACCAGACTCTCGCGCCGCTTGCGGGATCGCTCCGAATCAACGTACCAGTCAAGCGCGAGATCGCTAGCGCCCATTATCCCGTCGCCTTGACGTTCGCGTTCTTTGCGGATCACGTTGAATACGTCCAAGGGAATAGAGTATAGCACGAGGCGGTCACCATAGGCTGCGACAACACGGAGACCCCAGCGGAGATCGGAGCCCGCGGTGAAGGTTGTTGGCACTGGAAGGTCTGCTGGAGGCGGAGTTGTGTTTGAGGGGGATGGAGATGGGGGTGGTGTCTTGATCTGTCCGTCTTGGGCGTTTGAGAAAGGCGGCGGAATGCAGACGAATGCGCGGGTCAGGCTTGTTGGCCCGCCGATTGGCGCGTCGGTGCCGATGCATAGTAGGTTCGTGCGTGGTTCGATGAACATGATCTGGAAACCGTCGTTGATGGGGACGGCACGATAGTGGTGGCAGTGTGTTGCACGGACGAAGCTGCGGGATGGGGCGTGGGGAATGCGACGGCGGTTGAAGGACTGGATATCTGCCAGGAAATGGAATTGGTTGTTTTTTGAGTCGAGTTTTGGTGATGATATTGAAGAGGATGAAGATGAAGGGGAGGGCGAAGGAGGACATTTGCATTCGTGAAATCCTGGACCCGATAGAGAAGAAATGAGACGTAGTTCGCTGGGTGTTTCAGGACTACTTGGGAGGAAATGAAGGATTTCGGAGGGTTGAGGGAGGGTGAAGTGCTTGCGTTGTTCATTGCGTGTTTTTTCATTCACGCTATGAATCTCGATGCCCGCGGCGCAGCCGAAGGCGACGATCGGCCGACCTGGAAAGAGAGCAACTGTTCGGGGTGGGTTTTCCACTGTGCAGATGTTGTAGAAGAAGTGGCGGGATGAGGTGGCCATTTTGCTATTGGAATGAGACCCCTTGGTAGTCGGGGCTTTAGCCCAAGCCATATCCAAGTTACAGATCATGCCAACACGATTGCAAAGTAATGCAGCGATGGTGAATTGGGGCTTGCTGGTGTCTATGGCGGCTGAAATGACATCGAACGGACACGAGATGCGCGAGACTAGCGCCAAGTGAGCACCGTTGAAGTCTGTTGTAGATGTTGACCTAGACTTTCGACCCAAAAGAGAATAGATGTAGATCATGCAGCCTGTCGTCACGAGTAGATAGTTGCTGCAACTGCTAATGCTGAAAGTTGATACCCCGGACCCTTTGCCTTCGGTCATCTGCATAACAGGCTGAAGTCGAGTGCGGCGGGATGCCCTTCGTGCAGAATCAGACAGACTTGAAAAGTCTACCACGGCAGTAGCCACAAAGCCCTGCTTCTCGACATTCAACTTTCGCCCCGAAAGAAGACATTCTGTCGCAAAGCGGCGGCTCATTCTCCAAACCTCGCTCTCATCTAATCGAGAGATGCGTTGCGCTTCGCGGTCTTGCAGCCATGCATCCCACCACCCTGCTCTTTTCAGCATGTTCTCAAGTAACTTTTGGTTCAGGCTAACCCGCATCCACTGTGAGCATGTCCGCCGAGCATTGTCAAAGTCCCGCGGTGTCAGCATAGAGAATATCTCAAGTAGGATTTCTGTTGGTACAACATTTGCAGCGGGAGGGGACGATTTGCTCGTCGAACTGCATTTTGAGAGTTGGCGACTCTGTGCCAAGTATCTTGTCACAGACTTATTCAAAATCGAGGATATTGACCTCGTTGAGCTTCGTTTGGTGTGCATGAGGGAGGCATTCGTGGACATTTGACGGGTATAGTCTTGACTCGAAGACCGCAGCGCAGGCATGTTGATATACCCTTCGAGCAAAGGATGTAACCAAATATTCACCACTGGATCTCGGGCTCTTTGTTCAATTCCAGAACATTGCTTGGAAATCAGATTGTTGGAATCGGATCAATGATAATTTTTGATGCAATTAATTGATTGGCCCAGAACAGAAGTGCCTTCAGCAATTGAAAATACACCAAGTAGCAAGATCCAAGATCGCAATTGAGTGACGCAAAGACCTGAGGGGATCCACACAACCAAGTCTATACAGTGTGTTAAGCGTCCACTTGAGGATGAACCGTCTATCACACTAGTAAGCCCATTGATCTGCAATATCTCGAGCCCGAACTGCTAGTAATTTTAATTCAAGAAGAAAAGTTCACTCACTTTTAAGAAAGGTTTCTTTTAAGAAAGGTTTATACAAAGCTCACGATAATAAAGTTTGGATGAAGTACGTGCTAAGTGCAAGGTTGTATCGGCCTCACGTCTGAAAGCGGTGCAGCGACGGGAATTTGATACGATAAAATTGAAACCCGAGAGATTCGAGGGCGAGGCAAGGGCTGACTTGTTTAATTAAATACTGCACCTCATTATTTCCAGAGGCAACAACAAAGTCAAATAAGTTTGCCATCTGGTTAATTTCAATTACAATTTACCATTCTGACGTCGACATTTACAAGGTAGAGGTCTAGGGCACCTGAGATGTACCTCGCGGAAACCTGACAAAAAGTGGAGCACGTCAAGAGACATGTAAGAAATGAATATACCTATTTAGGTAGGTGGACAATTACCCGTCTACAATTACAATGCAGTCATGCAGTAAATGCAGTAAATGCAGCTACTACCATTCCATATTATATGGAATGGACATTAGGGCCGGAGGCAACGGGGTTTAGGGTTTAGTGACCCATGGGCCTAACTACCAAGCTTAACTTTATGCATCGACTTATTTCATTTCTTTCCATGGCTCAATACAATAATCCACTCACTAAGACACCGTAGCAGAGAGTCCTGTCACAATCCAAGAGAGAGAGAAAAAAAACCCCCCTCAATGCTCAAAAGGAACCTAGAACCCACTATCAATCTGCAACACTGACATTCCAAAGGATCTCGGGGAAGAGAATTAAGGAATGCGCCCCGGATGCAGCGCATGGCTTGGCATTTGTCGAACCCTCACCGCTTACATGCATATGTCTCTTAATCGTGTGATGATGATCCTAACAATTAAGACAATACTAAGATCCCTGAACAATTAGTATTTAGTTCACCATATCCCACATTCCTCGACCCCCCAAGGATAGTTTGTTTTGTCTCTGTTCTTTTCTTACTGTTTCATCTCCTCACCGCAAGAGAGACAACTGTGCCATCCCCCACTGCTCAGGAATGTGCCCCGACCATGTGGACCCTAGGGATTCCAGAAGACGGTGATTCCGTAGATGTTCGAGGTATGTCCGCACCGGAGGTTAGATCGAGCCGAATTGCGAATTCAATCTTCGGATGCAAAGAAGGGTTATTGGACGGATACGGTATTGTTTTCATTTCCATGTCTATAGATCACAATTGTGATGTGGCCCCTAGCAGAACGATGTCTCAGGCCGCCTCATTGAAGTCTATCCTTTGAACACACTTTTGTTATGGATAATTCTGCCAAATTACATACGTCTAAATACCTATTCATTCGTTAGAGAGGAAAGAAACATGAGGGTTCCCACTCTTTCTTCGCTTAGACCTTGTATTGACTTCGTGCTCAGACACTGCCACGTTTCCCGCGGACTTATTTTGGAACTGAGGAATGCGAGAAAAGAGTAAACCTAAGCGAACCCGATCTGGATCTTTACCGAGGAATCCTAGATGTGAGATGTGCCTCGGTTGGAGCCCGCATTGTGTGTCTGGAAGGCAGCCGCTCACGCCTGACAGGTAGATAGACCACATTATTAACAAGCGACGAAATTCCGGAATCACCAGTATCATACAGAATCTATATTCTACTTTTAATATATGCAATATCACACATGAACGAAATGGTTAGAAAATCAAATGACAAAAATCAATTATTGCGCGGGAGGGGGAATAGCGAGGGACAGGCGAGACGAACCCGCCAAAAGGAAAGCAAGCATATCACGCAAGGATATCATAACATGGAAACATATCATAACAAGATAGTGGAATGCGAACGAGGTATCAAGATCGTAAAACATGAAGAATCAAAGACATATGCAGGAAAAGAAAGTGTGTATTGACAAACGGCACAATGGTAGATCATGCGAACCTGAATCCGCACAACCTGCAAGATCAAACGTTCGGTGTTTGATGAGCCTCGAATGCGGACGCGCCATTTCCATTGCTTCGGGCGGGGTGGCGACCCGGAAGCCAGGCAGCATGCAGCGGGATAATCAAGCTCGGGTTGACGTACTTCTTTAGCCGCAATTCGAGGTCTTGTCCGCCAATGCGTATCGGAAGGCTATCGCGATCCAGGCCTGATGGCGGTGAGAGGGTCGATGAAGGCGATGGGGAGATGTCGCCACCACCCGGCTGATCTCGATTGATACTCTTGAGGGCAATAAATTTCATCAAGGGCTCGTATGTACGTCCAAACCAGTATGAAAACCAAACGGTGAAGCCTAGAAGTGGCACCAGGAGTAGCGACCGGGTGATGGCTCGGCGCAAAGCCAGAACGCCAATCATGGCCAGCTGGTGAACCAATAGCCCCACGAATACGCGGTTGCAGATCATCGGCCATGCACGGCCAGTGGAATGTTGCTGGTGATCCATGGCGTACAGCAATTGGTATTTGTAGATAAATTTACCGATTGTGAAGTAAATCAGGCCGAATAGGCAGATCAGCCACGAGCTCGGGAACACGCTGTAGACCACGCAGATAACCAGTATCAAGATGGTTTGTGGGATGGAGAAACCGTAGCTGAACTTGGGAGGAGTTGACAGCTCCGCATATTCCCTTGGCGTGCGGGCCGACAGGAAGTGGAAGGGGTATAGTGCGACACTTCCGAATTCGAGGAGTCGGAAGGGGAAAAGGCCCAACCCCTGAAGAACCAACAGGTTGATGTAGAATGGAGCCAGGCCTTCGAGGGAATTGGCTAGTGCGAGGGCAATCGTTGTCGAATCTTTAAATGCATCTCGAAGACTTTCCCAGAACCCATAGAAACCACTTGCTGTTCCAAACACAGTGAACAGAAGGAACAGATTGAAGAACGAGAAGAAGAAGTTCTTGGAGATAACGGACAGCTCAACATCACCACGCGACACCATTCCCTGATTATTCGAGAGCCCTGCAAAGATAATCAGCTATTTGAACGACTACATGAGGGGGGTGTTCAATGGAAAACTTACACTCATACAGATAAGGAACAGCTACGGTCAAAAGCGAGAATGCGAGGGTAGGCAATCCCGTTTGAACCAACGACTTGATGATCGGATGCTCCTGGAGGAACTCTGCCAGCTGGGGGACAATCGTCTCAAGGGTCTTCAGCTCCAGCAATGAGGCAATAGGAACCAAGAGCACAGACCAAAACACAGTGAGGAATGCAATAGCGAAGGTGATGGACCATGACTGAATCATTCGTCGAGTACGAGTCAAGTAAGTGTTTTTCCAAATAACATCTGCCGGCGCCGGCGCAAGTCGAGCGAACATTTGCATCGGGTGTGGATCAAGGATCGCTTGAACAAGCATTTGAGATGCGGCGATTGACTCCATCGTGACGAAAGCAATCTCGGTAGTAAGGTATTCTTTCTCTCGGGCGTTTTGGATATGTTCATCAATCTTCCGTAGCTTTTCCTCATAGTAATCGATTGCATCGATCATCCGGAAACGAAGTTTGAATGGACCATACCAAATACGAACTTTGGGTCTTTCATTTGAATAGCCAGAGACATCCTCGCTCTCATGTCCGGACAGGAGCCCGGACCGTTCATCGTCTGGATCACGAGGTTGTTGCTCGGTCAATGGCAACGTATTTCCATCGCTCTTTGGGCGCTTGTATCCCATATGTTTCGTCCATGCTCTCTCAAGTTGCCGGATGACTTTCATTCTCTCGTCAATCAATTCGTCTAGCTCGCGCCACTGTCGGCATACCGTGATACTATCAACATTGCCGACTCGCAGGCCTTCCACGAATTCTTTGATCTTGTCTTCGGTTCCCAAGTCGCTGGGGATCCCGGACAAGCGAATGGTTCGATCAGTGGTGCTGGTCTGATTCCCGAGATAGGTCTGCCGAGTGCGGATGATTACTTTTGTCTCATCAAGAAGCATGTAGATGGCCAGGCCACTGAAGACATATGCGAACAACACATAAATCCAAAGATATATAGGGTCTGTAACTGGCTTTTCTTTTTCCATTTCACCAATTGCACTCATGGTCTTATTGTCGGGAACGTTATCCCACCCAGGAAATCCATATTGACCGGTGTATTTGTAGTGCATAGGGAGGATGATCGCAACAGCGAAGATAAAGACAGCCAAAAGGAATCGAATCGCAAACTTGAAGAAAGACAAGAACTGCCCAAAGACTCAATTTAGCAATGGTCCATCGCTTAGTAGAGAAGCCAAAGCATCATTCAAACATACCACATACGCGTCCAGGCCCGCAGACTGCAGCACTTCCTCTTCTGTGATCCGATGGAGAACTGGGATCCAACCAAAAAGGGTGTCCGGAAGCTCAGGTAACCGCGAAGCAGCATTTCTTTGTCGTCGTCTCGCGGCATACAACTCGGTCCATTTTGGTCGCAAGATCTAGAAGTCAAGCTATCAGCGATGAACAAAACACACAGCTCTTAGTGATAGAGGCACATACACAGAATGCCAAAAATGCGCTGAGACCCAGCGCGGAGCTAATCACAAATTGCGTGTACAGATCGCGCTGTTCTTTTAACTGATCTTCCCATCGCCTCTTGCTTCCATCATCGGGCTTATCGGCAAGCAAGGTGAACACAGCGGACGCCGCTGATGCCGTAAGAGACAT